GGGGGGGGGAGAGGTTTTCGCTATAGGGTGCATGCGCTGGCCAGACAGGATAGAGCAGAAAGTGAGAAATCATCCTCCAGGGGTGATGGTCATGCTGCAATCCCTTCTCCTCCATTCTCCTCTTGGGATCTTGGGCACCCACACGCACATGCCCAGAGTGAGTTTTAAGCCACCAGGTCTGGGACGCGAACCGCGGTCAACTACATGGGAGTCCAACAACATAGCCATTACGCTAACTCCTGGTCCCTAATTTAGATCTTTTGATACTCTAGCAAAATTCTACCTCTCGATACAAACCTACTTCTGAACTAGTAAGTGTTATTAATATGAATGCTTCTGTACCTAATCTCATTTGCAATTAGAGTACTCTTAACTAGTCAATTTTTAAATAATCTCTTGAAATCAGGCTAAGAATTCAATAGATTAGTTTCTAGCTAAGCCATATAAATGACTTTGAAGTTTCTTTTTTAATTATATGACCATGTTCATTCAACAAGAGCCTCAAATGATTCACTCTTAAGATTCTCCTTCAAAACAACTTTAATTTGATAATCAATAAATCCATCTTTAGAAACCTCACAACTAAATAGATACATATTAAGAATTCATTTCAATGTGAAAAAGTTTTCAACACAGTCACTGTTTTTTAAAAATCTTTTATTTGGGCCCTATTAACCAAAAAACTTTCCTATTTGTGAAGAACTGAAAGTTTATTGAGACCAGCAGATGGTGTAATGGCTATGTCGCTGGACTCCAGAGTAGTCGATTGTGGTTCAAGTCCTGGATCCGGTGGCTTAAACTCACGGTGGCTTAAACTCATGCCGGGCACACGTGCCAAAGCCCAAGATCCTGAGAGGAGAATGGAGGAGAAGGAACTGCAGTGTGGCCATGCCCCCTGGGGGGGGTCGCCCTCCTCCCTTGGGGGGGGGGTGATGTCTCACTTTCTGTCTCTGTCTTTCTGGCCAGCGCATGTGCCCTACAGCAAAAACCTCTCCATTAAAAAAAAATGTTCTATTTACCCCCAAAAATAAAATAACATGGAATCTTCATCCTCTATAATTAACATTGACAAACTAATGTTTCTAACAAGCATATCATTAAAAGACATTTGCACATTAGCAACTAGTAGTTTTCACTTGACACATCTATAAGCAAGTTGTACGTACTCTAAACATATAAATAGCTCAATTACATTTTCTATTCTCTCTTCAAGAATGTCTAATATATGGGGCTGGAGGGAAAGAATATTTAATATAGGGAAAAAATACTTAAAACTATTTATCTAAGGGTCGCTAAAATCCTCAGCAAAACAAGGCAAAGTAGACATAGGTAAACAAATATGAATAAAATGATTAATATAGCAGTTTCTCATTTTATATGCAGTATTTATGTAGCCAATAAGAAAAGAGTTAAAATGTATCAGGGAAGGGACCAGACTGCAGCCTGGTGGTTAAGAGATCTGGATCTTACATGGCCAACCTCACATTGTGAGTTCTGGACTCAGCAGCTTGAAAAACATGTCATGTGCGTATGCGTGTATGCATGCATGCCCAAAATCCTGAGAGGAGGGAGAAATGAAGCCGAGGTTGTGGCATGACCATCCCCATAGGTGGGGGTGCCTCTCCCTCTGTCTGTCCTTGGCCAGTGTCCCACCCTCTTTCACACTATAGAAGGAGGAAGGGAGGAAAAAGAAAATGATTATCAGGGGAATTGGTAACTATCAATGTGGAGGGACAATATGGCAGAGAGGTTTTAGATCATGGATCAGGGAGCTCAAATGCCCAGGTTTGAATCCTTCTTCCACTGTTCTCATGTTAAATTGAATTGGCCTTGAGTGAGTTATTCAAACTCTCTGAATCCTGATTCCTTCTTCTGTAAAATGGAGCTCACAAGAGTATCCACTTCTTTTGTATTTTATGAAGATTTAATGAGTTTATACACATTGAAGCTCCCAGAATAGGGCTTGGCATATAGCAAGCACTCCATAAAATGTTAACTATTATTACCATCATCATCGCTGCACTGTAAAGAAACATGGGTATGTATAAAATATATAGAGAGAGACAAACTGCTGAATACAATCAATGCTGTATACAAATCAGGCCAAGGAGCACACCCAACCAGCCAGTGAAGCCTTATATTCAGACCAAGGGTCTCAGCTTCTATTCATTACTCCTTCAGCTGCTTCTCACTGCCAGCATATATCTGATCTGAACAACCAGAAGAACAATCTGGTTACTCATACTATATCACATTAATATGTAAATTCATCACTTCAGCAAGAAAATCACAAACAAGTAGTTCATTCATGACTCATTTTATTCATAAAGATCTCAAACTTGTCACCCAAAGATCAGTTTTTACAGCTACAGTTAAGCGAAGTAAACATACTCACAGCCAAATTCATTCCCTGGTGTCAAAAAAAAAAAAAAATCAATATAAGCAACAATCTGAGAGGATGCTATGTGATTAGGCCACTAAACTAGAATTGTTAAATAATAAGGATAAAAATGAACCATTATTGTGGAGAGAACAAGCTTAGGTCACAAGCAGACACTACTAATTTACACAAGCAATGACCCCTTGTTTTATCATTGTATTCAATAACAGCACGAGGTCAGAGACCTAAAACAGAAAGAGCTAGATGTCAAAGAACAAAGCCACATCATCAAAGGAAAAGAAGCTTATCTTTATTGCAAAAGTCCTAGAAAATAAAAGGAAAAAAGCGAAAAAGCTAAAAAGGTATAGTGGAATATGAATACAGGTTTTTCCACCTAGGCTGAATCTCTTTATCAAAATAGAGAACTCCATTTTCCCTAAGGTTGGCTTATAATTAGAAATTAGATTCTTCAATAATTCAATGACCGAAATCTTTATTAAAGTCAAATGACCTTTCTAATTAAATTTTCTTCTTAATATATAAGTTCTATTAGGTAGGTATCATTTCCACAGATAATACAGATTTCCCATATTTATTGCATGAGTTTTTTATTTTCCTCTACGTTCATCCTTTTCTTTGATTTGAAACTTTGACAATAATTATTGGTAAAACTTTTTTAAAGTACAACAAATTACTAATATATGTGGGTAGATGTGCTGATTTTTTATAACACGTATAATGTATCATTCTGAAGAATGTTCAAGCTTAAATATTATACTCTTCACTTTTTAAAAAAATTTTATTCTAAAAGAAAATTGCTACTGAGGAGGAATGTATTCCACTTCATTATAACATTAAGAAGAGGGCTAGAATTTGAGAACCTAGAGAGTAAATTTGAAATTGGTGTATAAAATTGACCTTAGTTTCAAAAGCTCTGGCCATAATTCACTTATAGGCTCATGCCAGTAAAGATGCATGTAAATATCGTAATTACGTTTGAAAATACGTACCATTTTAATCTTTAAATATATGTTTAAAAATCAAAAGTGGCTAAATAATTCTTAAGGCATCATGATAAAATGCTCTGGCATTTGGAAAACCAAAAAAAAATACTGTCATCACACCTCACTCTTTTTGGATGCCATGTTAAATCCAGTGAATCGCACTGGTGATAAACCAAAGAAAGTCGCTGCTGTGTGTAGGTACATGTTTAATACCACACATCCACCCATCATTCCGGCAGTCTACGATGACATAAGCAAAATGCTTCACCGCCACTTTCGTCATTAATCAAAAGAAATGATAAACCCGAGGCAAAGTGATTAAATCACTTACTCAAGGATATCAGCCAGTTTTCACAAATTTTACTTTTTTATTAGGTTTCTTTCTAGTTCATACCAAAAAGAAAGATAAAAGAATATCACCTGAGAGAAAAAACAAAATGTGCACTTTGAGTACTAATACTCCCAGAGAATACATGGCAATATCCAGCTCTAAATTTTACACATCACCAAGCACTAACAAAAAAAGAATGCAAAAAAATGAACAAGAAGGAGACTTCTGCATCCCATCGCTAACAAGCCAATTTTTTTTTTTTAAAGGAAAGAAAGAAAGAAAAACAGAGTACAGTCTTTGGATTATCCCTCTCCAGCCCCCTCTCAGCTGCTGTGCATTTCTACCTGGTTCACTACTAGAAGACAGATTTCAGCTTTGCAGATGCTTTCAAACGGGCTTTTCTTAACAAATGTCTGCACTCCTCAGGCAAGGCCATTAAGGTAACTTAATCCCTCTTGAATCGCTCAGTGGAAGAAATGCTGATTCCCAACTCAGAAATTATTTCTTTAGCTTTTTCTGAATTAAGAGTCATGAAGAAAACCATTACGACCATTTAGATTGGAATTTGAAGACTCGCAGGACAAATAAGAGCTTAGGAGCGGGAGGTGCTGCTGGGGGAGGGGGTGCAGAGAGAGTACGAGAAGATGCTGGTCAATTCGGAGACGATGCAGGAATGACATGGCACCGGACAACACGAGTCCACATCCAGCCCGCCAGTCCGAGCCTGGGGTTCGGGGACACCTGCCTAGAGCTGTGAATAGGTGCACACGCACACACCATCTTTTATTCCTTGACTCCCGGGGAAGAGGGTGGTGGAGAAGCGCCTCAGGGAAGAGCTCCACCACAACAAACGAGGGCTTTCTCCTCGCACCCCGCCTCCCCAGCAAGGGACAGGAGACAACAGTCTCCAACAGCGGACAGCTGAGAAGATCCGAGACCAGGGAGAGGGCAGCATCTCTGCGGGGGGCGGGGGACGAAGCCCCACAGCCTGGCGAAGAGCCTTGGGGAGGGGGACAGGAAAAGGGGGGACCAGGAAAACGGAGGGGAGGGGGACCGGCGGCGCCCGGCGCGCTGCGCATCCAGGCTGCCCGGGGCGGGCGGGACTGGAGGAAACGGCTTTGTATGGCAGGATGAAAGACGGTCAGCAGGGACACGGGCGGGGACACGGAGGATGCCCAGAGCCGGAGGACCCCGCCTGGCCCACAGCACCGCTGTGTGGCCCCGGATCCCGCCGCAGCCCCGTCCGCCCTGTCCAACGGCCCGGAGCGGGGTGACCCGCGCTCACCTGCCCACGAAGTTCTCGAGCACCGAGCTCTTGCCGGCGCTCTGGCCGCCCACCACCGCGATCTGTGGCAGCTCCAGCAGGCAGTTTTGCCCCAGCGCCGCGAAGGCATCCTGCAGCCGGTTCACCAGCGGGATCAGCTCTTCCATCTCCCGGTTCCCCATCCCACCTGTGAGCCGGCTGTGCACGGTCTCTTATCGCCTCTGCCCTGGCCTTGAGCCGGGCTACGCTGCCCCCCCGCTGTTGCTGCTGCTGCTACGCGAGCGCTGCCACCAGGTCCCAGAGTAGACCTCGGACCCGCTGCCCGCCTGGCTCCTGACAGTTAACCGCCAGCAGCGCGTGCGCGAGAGAGCAGGGCGTGGCCTGGCTCCGTAGGCCCTGCCCATGACACGCCCCTCGCCGCGCCACGCCTCCCAGCGGTGGCTAGATGCCCAGCCTCTGCCTGCTGCTGCCAAGGCTTGGGGGCAAGTGACAGCTCGTGGTCGGGGATTGGCGTGAGATCGGCAGCAGCCCACACTGCTGCTCCCTTACACCAGCTTCAAGTCACAGCCGGTGGAAACTCTACAATTGACAGTACGCCGCAGCAGAACCTCTACCTGTGCCACCAGAGAACACATCCAGAGAGGAAACTTCACATGGCCCCTCTCAGAATGACCTCCGGTAGAAGATAACTTCTTTCATCTGACATCTGTTTGAGGCCCGAGTCGTCTGGCCTTACCTATTTCATCTTCAATGACATGTTCTCCAACAGGAGCAAAGGAGTCCATAGTCTTCGCCCCCACAACTCTCCAATCTACCTCGCCCATCAGGCTTCTGAGACTCCTCATGCTATCTGTCCTCATAATCCACCTCTTTCTATAGGGTCCTGTCGATAACATGTACTCAACACCCGTCTGTTAAATTTAGCACATCTTTCAGGTCAGTGCCTGGTGATGGAGACGCAAAGATAAATTACCATGACAATCTCAGCCTTTTTATAGGGTTCCCTTTTCATCTGCTCCTCAAATATCCATATTTTTCAGGATTTAATATATTGAAATTTTCTTGCCTTATGCTTCCTGCTCTGCCTGAGGACTTTCCCATTACTTTAACTCCATATAAAGGCTAGAGACTATGGGGGTCTAAGTTATTACATCGTGTCTCCTATTTCTTAGACTGTACTCTAGCTGAATCCTGGGATGCACTACCTAAATGTCTCACAATCTACCTCACACTCAACTTCTTCCAACCAAACTCATTTTTTCTAACCTCAGCTTCGAATGTTGTAAATTCCCCTCTAACCCTAAAGAGACTTGTATAAATGTTCATAATAACCAAAGAATGAATGTTAATCAACAGGTGAATGAATAAATAAATGTAATGTGTGCATTCTGTGTGATATTCTCCACGACAAAGAAGAATGGGCTTTTGATGTAGCAACAACATAATTGATTGTTAGTTATGTTTATGGAAAAGACCAAAGGGTATGTTAAGTCTGATTCCATTTTACATGAAGTTCTACAATAGACAAAACACCTCTATGGTGATAGAAATCAAAACTGTCAGCTTTGAGTGGAATTTGAGAGTAGGAAGCAGGAGGAAACTTTCTGGAATGAAAGAAGTATTCTACATTTTGATTGGGATGTGGGTATACATTTGTCAAAATTCATTGAACTAGCCCAGCCATATGGCACATGGCAGCACACGGCTGAGCAATACCAGAGCCATATGGGAAGGCTCAGGGATCTCAGGTTGACCTGACCATGGCCCAGTGGGTGTGTTGTGATATCGGCCTTGCTGATCCCAGCCGGGGGATGGGGGAGCCAGAGTTAGGGGAGTCGGAGAATGACAGGATTTCTAAATAAACAAATAAACAGACTTTAAAAATAACATTCATCAAATTAAACATGTAAATTCTGTGTATTTCACTGCCTTATAAAAAAAGAGAGAAAGTCAAACAAAACTGAATGCATCTTCTCCATTAAAATAAACCCCTATTGGAATGTCTGTCTTGCCTTCCTTTTGTAAGAATCACTCCTCCATACCATGTGGTCGTACCCAGAGCAGTCAAGATAGAGGGTGTGAAGAACAATGAACTCTGCCTGTGGCCTGTGCACCAGGACAAGCATCTGATTGGTGGGGTTCCAGGAACATGGAATTGAGAGAGATTGCTCTTTGCTTGACTGAACATAGATGAATAAATTTGACAACTATGGTTAGCAATATTTTTACCAATAGAAGAGAGATCCAAAAGATGCTAGTCTTCAAAGAAAAAAACAAGTTCCAGTTCTAATTCATTTCTGCTGCCCATCTCCAATCCTGTCCTGAGTTCTATGTGCCAGCCTCTCTCCATAAACTTAAACTCCCTTCTCTGTCTAACCTAAGTCAACTTAGATTTTATTTTATTTGCAATCAGGGAATCCTACTAAATACACCCTCTAGTGCTTCCTATCTCAACGAATGACCTGCCCAGGCCCAGTCCAGAAAAAGGAACTCTTTCTAAATTCTCTTTCTTTTCTTCATCCCCTACACTAAGTCCTTCCCAAATCACATCCATTCCACTTCCCTGGATCCCGTCTCCTCCTCTCCATCCTTGCTGCCAGTGCCTCAGTTTTAACAGTCATTTGTCAAACAACTGTCTTCCTCTATGTTTCCCATACATAGATACGCCAAAGAGGTTATTATTGCACTTAGCAAATTGCATTAAGTTGCTGATTTGATAGTCACTCATGTGATTGGCAGAATAATGCATACCCGTCCCCTTAAAGATGTTTACAGTCTAATCCCCAGAACCTGTGTTACCTGCTTAGCAAATAGAACTGTAGATGTGATTAAGCTAAAGACCTTAGGATGGGGAGACTATTCCAGATTATTTGGATGGGCCCAGTCTAATTACATGGATCCCAAGAAAAGAGAACCTTTCTTTTCTGTGTTAAAGGGGCATATAACTGTGGCACAGTGGCTTGAGATGTAACTTTGCCGAGGAGAGTTGGAGAAGGTAGGTCACAAGCCAAGAAATGCAGGCTGCCTCTAGAAACTGGAAAAGGCAAGGAAACACACTTCCCCATAGAGCGTCCCAAAGGAACACAGTTCTGCCGACCCTTGATTTTAACCAGATGATATTTCTAATCCATGATGCTGTAAAATAAAATATTTGCGTTATTTTAAAATACTCAGGGGCCAGCAGGTGGCATAGTGATTAAGGCACTGGATTCCCACGTGGTCTACCACGGTTTGAATCCTGGTCCTGAAGGCTTGAAACTCACACCAGGTGCATGTATGCCCCAAAATCCTGAGAGGAGAATGGAGAAGGGATTATGGTGTGGCTGTCCCCCTTGGGGGGGATGATTTCTCACTTTCTCACTGTCTCCTGTCTCTCCAATGACTGCCCATGGCCTATAGCAAAAATCTGTCGGGGGGAAAAAAAAAACACTCAGTCTGTAGTAGTTTTTTATAGCAGCAATAGAAAACTAATAATGTGATCTTCTTGAGGGCAGAGTCCATCTCTGTGATCCTCAGTGCTTAGCACAGTGCTTAGTACCTAAGGAGACACCATAAATAAATTATTCCAAGTACTGTGCTCCAGAGTGCAATGAACTGAACTGTGCTTCCCCCAAATTCATATATTGAATGAAGTCTTAACCCCTTGTGTGGCTGTCTGGAGTAAGAAAGTAATTAAAGTTAAATAAAATAGGAATGGGATCATGAATTAATATTCTTATAAGACACCAAAGTGTTCCCTCTCCCCCTCTAGCCCTCCTCTGTTCCTCTCTGCCATGTGAGGACACAGCAACAAGGCAGTCATCTGCAAACCAGGAAGAGTGTCCTCAGCAGAAACCAAGCATGCTGGCACCTTGGTCTTAAACATCTCAGCCTTCAGAACTAAGAGACAAATGTCTGTTGCTTAAGCCACCCAGGCTGTGATATTTTGTTACCACAGACCAAGCTTAGACACAGTGGTTCTTGAAAAGAACATTAGTTGGAAATTAGGAACTTAACTATCTGCCTTGAGAGGGTCATAGAAGGCTTTAGAGAAGAGGCAACACCTGAGATAGGCCTTCATGAGTGCATCCTATACTCTACTACAAGCTTCCAGGAACACAAAAGATGGAGCAATGACTCTTACCCTCAGTATTCTGCATTCTAATGTGGAAGATGATGCTCCTGGGCATTAGAAAGGAAATGCACTTCAAGGTTTTTCATGCATGCTATTGGGTCTTGTATATATATGATCACCTAATCTGCTAAGAGATAATTTCAACTCTTCTTTACCTATTAGAATGCCTTTTATTTCATTCCCTTGCCTGATCACATTGTCTAGGACTTCCAGTATTATATTGAATAGGAGTGGAGAGAGTGGGCAACTTTGTCTTGTACTAGTTTTTTATTTTTATTTTTAACATTCAGTTTAATGTTAGCTATAGGTTTTTCATAGATGGCTTTTATTATGCTGAGAAATGATTCTTCTATGCCAATTTTACTGAGAATCAAAAAAGACCCCATATTTACAAAGTAATCCTATGCAAAAAGAGTGGAGTGGATGGCATCTCACTTCCTGACGCCAAAATATATTATGAAACTGTGATGGACAATACAACATGGTATTAGAATAAAAACAGACATGAGAATCAATGGAACAGAATAGAGATCTCCAGAAATAAACCCCAAAACATACAGCCAACTGATCTTTGACAAAGGGTACCAGTCAATCCAGTAAGAAAAGGAAAACATCTTTACCAAATGGTGATGGAAAAACTGAGTATCCACCTGCAGAAAGATGAATCTGAACCCCTATCTCTCACCATTAACAAAAATCAACTCAAAATGGATCAAAGATCTAAACCTAAGACCTCAAACTATAAAAGTACTGGGGAAAACATTGGGGAAACTCTGGGAGACATGGGGGTGGGGGTAGGCAAAGACTTCTTAAGCAAGACCCCAAGGCACAGGCAATAATCCCCAAAATAGATAAGTGGGATTACATCAAATAATAAGTGTCTGCACAGAAAAGTAATTAGTGTAAATTGACAACCCTCGGATTGGGAGAAAATTTTTGTAAACTATGCCTCAGATAAGGGACTGATAACTAAAATACACAGGGAACTCAAGTGACTTACCCAAAAGAAAATTATTAACCCTATTAATAGATGGAAAATTAGCTGAATAAACAACTCTCTAAGGAAGACATATGAACAGCCAAAAAGCATATGACAAAATGCTCAACATCCCTCATCGTAAGGGAGATGCAGATCAAAACTACAGTGAGATACCACCACCTAACCCCAGTTAGAATAGCAAAGATTCAAAAAGCAAAAAATGACAAGTGTTGGTGGGGGTGTGGTGAAAGGGGAATACTCCTACATTATTGGTGGGAATGTAAACTGGTCCAACTACTGTGGACAACAATATGGAGGTTCTTCAAAGACCTTCAAATAGAACTACCATATGATCCAGCAATTCCATTCCTGGGTATCTTCCCAAAGGACAGGAGAACACTCAGTCAGAAAAGCACTTGCACATCTGTATTTATTGTGGCATTATTCAAGATTGCTAAGACATGGAACCAACCCAAATGTCCACAAGCAGATGAATGGATTGAAAAAGTGTGGCACATATATTCCATGGAATACTATTCAGTCATAAAAAAAAGAAACACAGGACCCTGGCATTTGATAAAAAGTAGATGAATATGGAAGATTTATTGCCAAGTAAAGCAGGTCAGGCTACGAAACAGAGACATTGTATGTCTCCACTTAACATACACTAACTGTCCACACTCTAAGGCAGAGACTTAAAGTCTGGAGGACATAAAAGCTTTGAAAATTGTTATGGACACTAGGGACAAAGTGGAGAGAGTGGGAGAGGAACAGAACAAGGAAGGAAATTTGGGGGGAAAATAGAAACATTAGACATTTGTGGGACACAGATATGGTTTATTACCTATTGATGACGAAGTGTATAGTATTCTCAACTAGGCTGGTCTGAGGTGTATACCATGCTGGGTAAAGTCTCTTTACAATCTAAATGATGCATAGAGATTGGATGTATAAATAATAAATTTTTAAAAAGGAAATGCACAACCATTGTATGAAGTTCAAAGTTCATATGCATTGACTTGAGCATGTCATCTCTCTTCTCTAGAGTGCTGTTCAAATCAGTTCTACCCACCTACATCAAGAGATCATTCTGAACTACTCTTGCCAATTGCACTCCTTTTCTTCCCACTTCCACAATCAGTCCCAATTTAGGAGAAATTTAACATACACAGAAATACCCCACTCCTGGGCTGGTCATTGACAGTAATGCACTGCTCAAAAACAAGCCGATTTCACATGGTAACTGCAGTGTGAAAGTCTGAATCCCTGACTGGTCAGCCTGAAACACACTGGGCACATGAGCCAGTGTCCAAGATCCAACAGGCTGAAGGACTAGAAGAAGATCACAATGTGATTAGACCTTTTATCGAGGGTAAATCTCTGTGTGAACATTCATGCATTTTACTATAGATAAAAGGAAAACAAATTTTAAAGAAACCCTCCACTCTGAGTCCTTTAGTGATGTAGATATTTTCTTATAAATTAATCTGGATGAAATAAATAGCAAGGGAAAATGCAGAAGGGAAATTCTGATAGAAACCTCTATCTTTGAGGGTGCATGTAGAAGCTGAAGAGGGACACCAGTCAACCACCTGACTTCCTGAGCATACCCCCCATCACGGCAGCCCTGTCTCAGCGCCAAGCGATGCCACCTCCTGCTCTCCACTCCACCTTCCTAGCAAGGCAGAAGGTTCCTGAAGATTCAGAGTCTTGGGGCCAGCAGCTGGAGGAATGGCTATGTCGCTGGAATCCCACTAGTCGACCACGGTTCAAGTCCTG